CGGGTTAGGGTGGGGTGGGATGGTTGGAGTGGGTTAAGAGGGGGGAGGGTGGCAGGTGACTCGGTACGACGAGAGGTTGAGAAAGACAAGGGTTGATACGGAAACAGTGGGGTGGAATTGAAAGGATGCGTTGGAAAATGGAAGCGAGGCGTGAAGGGGAGGAAGAGGCGAAGTGAGTGAAGGTGGAGCGGTGAAGAGCAGAGCGATGATAAGAGGAGCAGAGAAGAGGGGAACGGTGAAGGACGAACGGATGAAAAGTGGTGGTGAAGAGCAGAACGGTGAAGAGAGGCGGATCACTGAAGAGTGGAGCGGTGAAGAGCGGAGGGAGGAAAGATGAAGTGGCGAAGGGCGGACGGGTGAAAGGTGAAGAGCGGGGCGATAAAGAGCGGAGCGGTGAAGGGCAAAACGGTGAAGAGCGGAGTGGTGATGTGCGGAGGGATGAAAGGTGGAATGGTGAAGAACTGAACGGTGAAGAGCGGCGGAGCAGTGAAGAGAGGAGCGATGAAGAGCGAAGCAATGAAGAACGCAGCTTGGAAAAGCGGGTTCCGGTGAAGAGCGAAATGGTGAAGGCCGGAACGAGAAGGGCGGAGCGGTGAAGGGCGGAGCGGTGAAGGGAGAAGCGATGAAGAGCGGAGCGGTGAAGGGAGAAGCGGTGAAGGGCGGAGCGGTGAAGGGCGGAGCGGTGAGGACAGATCGGTGAAGGGCGGAGCGGTGAAGGGCGGAGCGATGAAGCCCGGAGCGTTGAAAAGCGGAGCGGGAAAGGTGGTGCGAGGTGTGGCAACCCGCCGGCGCGCCGTGAGGGCTCTTTTGTCTCCGCGCGGCGCGCGTGGGCGACCCCGGCACGTCTCCTCGTCACGTGCTCGGCCACGCGCGCTGCCCCGTTAGCGCTCGCACACAGCTCCACTGGCCCCCCGAGAGCACGGCGCGCGCAACAGACAGATGTTTTCTTTGACGCGCGGGTGGGCGTGGCCGTCGTGTCGCACGAGCAACGGAGTCACGAAAGCCCCTTTTTACAAATGCGCGAATAATATGACTTCTGCTCCGGAACTTAAATGCATCGCACGACGATGAGAAAACATTCGATGAAAATGAGTTAACCTAACGGGATTGGTAATGATTTTTATGGACTTTCTTTTCGATTTTCTGGTCAAGGATGTTACACTAAAAACTTCAATGAAAATACAACATGAAAGTTTCAAAAACAGTGTCCAAATTTTAGAATGTCACGTTAGTGTTGTCACTTGTTTGTCCTAATTATGAACTGGAATTGAGTATTGAAATGCGAATTTGCATTAGCAGCTCTAATACGACCAAAACGTGGATTGGCAGTTTAAAATAAAACATGCAAAGCATTAGCAGGGCTCTACAGGGTTCCCCTTGACAGTAAATTGAAGTGGCAGGAAACACCACATTTTTTTAAAAGATCAGTGTATGTCCTTTGACTACGTAAACCTAATGTGTGCTACGAGCACAAAACAAATACCATATTCCATAATCATTACATTCATGAGAAGCAAGTGACAACACATTATTATTCGTTCGTTTGTGAAACAAGGAAATGGAATGTCGTTTACAACAACGAGAATGAATAATGTGTTGCCATGCACCCGTAATGTTAATTTTCAACTTGCTGGTATCTCGCGTAAACAGCTCTGCCAGCCTCTGTGAGACTCTTCATAGTACATTGAACGCCCATCCATTTATCTCGCGCATTTTTATGCACGCGGGACGTATTTCGTATGAGACGGCTTAGCCCACCATCGTTGAGACGCTCGAGTCCCTTTATTGCGATGTACAGTCGGCCAGTTCAAAAAATCCTGAGGTAAATTCGCTTGTATAAACTCTGCTAGTATTCCAAAATCAAATTTAACAGTCTATCAAATATTTTATAGCAGTGTAGCACCAAGAATGTTTAATATTGTGAGTAGTGAAATAGGTGTTTTTAATACACTCGGCTAGATTTTTTTTAAAAAAAATAAGAAAATGGCCAATTTTTTGTAAGACAACATTGACGATTTTCTTGTGATAATAAAGTGTACTTTTGTTCTTGAAAAAGCGTGTACGATTTACAAAACGTTATTTTATGTATCATTGGGCAGGAATGTTATAATTTTTTCTTCTGATATCAAGTTCGTTATAGAATTGCGATAGTATATGATTAGATCAGAAGGTTTTTGATATATTGTAAATGCTTTGTTATTCTCATATGTTAATTCGGGGTGAGCAAGTTGCGTGTCGCTGCGGACAATCTAATATCAAAATCCTTTCTCTTACTTTTTGTGTTGGGTTCTCACAGTTATCACAGACACGCCACTAATACTCACACCAATGTCATTAATTATTTCCGAATCAAAAGAGCTCCTAGTTTCTGAAGTAAGATTTATCAGCTGCACTTAAGTTTCTTTCACTTGACGCATTGCAGCAGGAATACAAAATATTCTCATCATTTCCAACCAGCCACTTTTTTCACCTGTGCTTTGTGCTCCTTGTTTTGACGTTTCAACGCCGTTGCGTCATTAAGTTGCTGTTACACACTTTAAATCGTGACTCAACTGCCGGAGTAACGAGCACGGAGCGTCAGACCCGCCGGTTTTCTCCAGAGCGCTTTTCGCGCGTGGCATCTCGGCAAGCGGAGATCTATCACATTGGACTGCCATTAGCGGAGTTCGCGTAAACTGTTATGGCGCTCGATCGATCGATTTCCTTCGTGTATCCAGGCGCGGCGCTCGATCGATTGATTACTTCCTGGATCCAGGCGCGACAGCTGGTATGGTAATTAGTCCCGTAAGTTTGGGGCATGCTTTTTATCACGGGCATTGGTGATGTTCAACCGACGCTGGACAGCGAGATACGTGCCGCCGTACACGTTGGCTTGTGGGAGCTTCGAGAATGATCTTGGCCGTCCGCGTGACGCCGCGTCGAAGGCTATGTTGCCGACGTTTCAACCATCTTAACGTGGTCTTCCTCAGGGCTGCCGGCGATCATTCACAAGACTCCGGCCGCGGAAGCCTACGACTTCACTTGTGAGGGTTTCCTCAACCGGGTACCTCCCACCAGCGGGGCACCGCCCCAGCCGCAACAAGCTCTAAGCTCCCGACGTGTGTGGTAGTGTAGTGCATGTAAGTGTACGTGTGTGTATGTAAGGAGTGAGGATATGTCAACGAAGAGGTAGGAAAGGTCGCGCGCGGTCCGTGGCCCGGTTGTTAAGGTACTGCTGCGTCATTCTCTAGGTGTTGATCGGTAAACCACAGAAAAATACCAATCAGAACGGACATTAGAATTATCTTCTAGACTGCGATTGAATTCGACTTAGCTCACTAGTTTAGATTCGAAAATCCTGCCATCGTCGGAACTAGAACCCAAGAAACTCCGGGCAATAGGCACTGCACTGAACCTCAACTGCTGCACTGAGCAGCCTTTAAGCTGGTAAATAGTCTCGTGCGGGACTCGAACATACTATGCTAACCGTAAAATAGTTCTTTATGCACCAATGGCGTCGTACGGATTTTAATTAATAATATTAGAACCAGTTAACGCCCGAGATTGATATATAATTTCATTTTTTTAACCTAATTTTATTGATTTAGATTTACTTATTTACTAATTAACTGCTTGTTAATTTGCCTCGGTTTGTCTTTTCATATTTCATTCCCATAATTTCCTTTCACAATTCCCTCCACAAGACAACATGTAGTATCAATGAACTGTTTTCATATTTCCCTCGTAATCACGTTCCACGTAAGTAAGTCGAGCTCCAGATCGACGGCAATAACAAACTGTAACGTATGAGTAACAAATACAATTGGTTTTTGGGCAAGCTGTTAGGGTGTAGGGCCCACTGTGCGTCGGGCGTGGGCGTGTCCCCGTCGCGGCACGTCCTTCGC